AAGGCAGAGCTTTATTTGTAATTTTTTTAAATAAAGCCTCTGACCAGATGCACATACCTGAGCAGCAATATAACTGCAATCTCCCCTAAAGCTGAATTTTTGCTGATCAAAAGTTATATAACGTCCACTGCCGTAAATGGCGCATATGCCTGGACACTTATAATGTGTACATTTCCATTTTCCCCGTTGGCAAGTGCTGTAAATATAGAGGGAGACTCAAATCTTGTGTGGTTCTACAGTATTATACTATAGATCATTAAAGGCCAGGTTGTATTTCCTCATTACTTAGGGGTTTTATGATAATGTTACTTTATTGTGGCAATGGTAATGGCTGTTGTTTTACACTGGATTAATACTGTCAACAAAAAATAAATGTAAACAATTTAAAAATATTTTCATTACTTGAAATAAAATAAACATTAACTGAAAAAAAAAAAAAGTAAATACAAAATATCATTAAAAACTACAATAGTATACTAAAATAACACCAGTTTTACAGACCATTGATTGCAGTCTATGCTTATCTCAGCTCCTGGTGCGTAATCCAGTCCATTATGTTTACACGAGCAGTAGTCTGGTTTAACACAATGTCCTCTCCCATCATCCAATAGACCAAAAGGACACTGGCAGCCAGACTGACAGTCCAGTGAGAACTGGAAAGAAGGGAAGAAAACATGATGTACAAGGAAAAAGCTGTTATCCACACAAATAACTCCATCAGCAAAATCAAGTGATAGACTTTGGGAAAGAAAAAGAGAGAAGAGGTACAAGCAAAATGCTGTTATCCACACAAATAACACCATCAGCAAAATCAAGTGATAGACTTTGGGAAAGAAAAAGAGAGAAGAGATCTTAGAATCTATAGACTCACACAGTCAACTGCCTGTTGCAGACAAGTCTTTGCACACTCCAATCCATGTTCATCTGGGGCTGCTGTACTGCAGTTGAAGAAAACCTTCGGAGAGGAACATCCTGCCAAAGATATCAGACGCTGCATCATTCATGTACTTGTGATATCAGAAACCATATTCAAAAACTGTTAACGACAGACTTCGAGCAATTGTAAAAAAAAATTAACAATTGTGATAAAAGTTAAAAGTTAACTTGTGCAGCATCATTTATATTTGCCTTCTGCCACCTTGTTCTCTAACATATCAGCACTGGCCATTAAAAATCCATATTAATCAACCACTATTTATTGTTCACTGTTTGTTGGTTATTAAAACCTTGGTTAGCCAGTTAATTTCAACATCACATTTGACTAGATAACTTTATAATGCCTTGGTTACAGATGCCATGATAGCCTAGTACTAGTGATGGTAGTCTATATAAACTGAAAACAAACTTATTTAACCTATGTAGTAGATGAAAGTAACTTTTCATACCCAGAATTTTGGTTTTCCAGGAACGACAGTGAAGTTTTCCATTCATGCAAACACTGGACAGAGAAATAAGATCAAATTGTATATTAAATTCATAGTTTTTACCTTTCTTGTATAACTACTCCACTAATACCCACAGTGTATTATCATTCACTTACCAGTGTTCATCCCTAATGGTGACAGACTTGCCGGAATGAATTTTCTGTCCGTTGTGGTGACATGGACATTTTTCCATAGGTACACACAGTCCATTCTCATCCTG